TGTATTATACAATAAATAATATATGTAATGTAAAAAAATAATAATGTAAAATAAGGGTTAAAATCCTAATGGGAAATAATTCTCTCTTCATCCCTCTTTTCCACTGCCTTCCTTAGCCCTTAACTGGATTTTGTTGACTCCCTGTTGGTGATTCTTCTTTCCTGCCCTGCAGCCACTCCTTTCTTTTCTACACCAGTGCCAGTATGGGCTGTTCCTGCCCCACAGCTGGAGGGAACAAAGCCAGCTGCCTGTGCAAAGCCAGCTCAGATGTCCCTCACAGTGATCCACTCAGGCTGTGTGCTCGACTTACAACCTGCCTGCATCTTACACTTCAGAAATTACTCTGGTTTTAAGAACCAGAACATTTCCTTGTGTAAGAGAAGCCAAGTAATTGTGATACCTAATCTTATTTTTCATTCCAAGCTTCCAGCTCGCTCACGGGCACGTCCCTTGGTTGGAGACAGCCCAGCTCTTCCCAGGAAACACTGGGTGCCAGCTGTGGAGCTCTGCAAACAGATATTAATGGCAGCAGCTTTCCAAAAGAAGGGAGAGCACAAAGTGGGACCTGCTTCTTTCCATTTGTAGAGCATATTGTGCAGCCACCTGTTGCAGGCTGCAGGGTGCTCTGGCAAATTGAGATACATCCATTACATACAGGGCCTTGGAAAGGCAGGAGCATACATCTGCTGGAAGGATAAAACAGCAGCCCCATGTTTTGCTTGTTAAGGACTTACTTGTCACAGGGGAGTTCTGCTTGGTTTACTTTATCTGCTTCCAAACTTCCTTATGTTGACAGACTTAGAGCAGGCATTTCCTTCCCTGAATAAAGACAATAGTTAAACTGGTTTTGAACAAAGTAGTTGGTGTGTGAGTAACTCCCATGTGCTTAGCAACACCTGGGGAGGTTTTGTCTGTAGTTTTCACCAGATTAATGTTGGCATTGGCTTGTTGGAGTCAGTTTCTTTGCCTTTTAAAGGTGGCAGCAATTGTGCAAGGTCACTCAAAATATTAAATTAGCACTGAAAGGAAAGAAAACAGAAAGATGCATCTCTGTGGAAATAATAGATCTTTATTTTATTTGAATTAACACCAAGTGTGTTAGTGTATGACACAGTGCCAGAATACAGGTGATAATAAAGGGAAGAAATTCCTTAACTCCCCCTGAAGGTTATTGTCCAGAGGAGAACCAAGCTGTGTGACTGTCCCAGAGAATAAGATGCAAATGGAAAGACAACCTCAGGGGCCTGAAGTGCTGTGACTGCTGTACCTGGCTGGAACAGCCCTGGGGAGTGCTCTCAGTAGTTCTGTTTGGAACAGAACATTGGTGTTATTTGAATTGTTTTCCTGAGTTTGTAAAGAAGTCCTGTCTTTCATAGTATAGTTAAAGGGATAGTAATATTAGAGAGTGTTGTGTTGTGATAATTCTAATAAAGTATGAAATGAGAGAGAAATTAAATTTACTATTGAAACAAGAAGATTATTTCAGCTGCTTAGTATTTGTTCCTCATATTAGCAAATAGACTTTAAATTGTATTATTTAGATATGTTGAGATAATATAATTATTGAGCATTTTCTTATTTATCCATATTTTATACCTTTATTTTGGGGCTTTCTTGGAACCATCAATCTCTCAGCCTTTTCAGAGGTAGGACAATGATGGACATTTGGATGACAGAGAAGCTGAGAAAATGTCTTTAAGTATTGCTGCTTGAATTTCCCTGCTTAAAGACCAGGAGAACATTTTTATTGTTCTTAGAATTTTAAACTCCTTTGGGCTAACATAAGTCACTATAAAGAGAGTGTCATGGAAATAAAATGTTTTATCATCAGACTGATGATTGATATCCATGGTAGTCAATCCAAGCACTGATTTCTTTCTTCTTCCCTCCTAGGAATTCCTAGTACTAGTGCAGAAGATGCTGCAGTAGCCAAGAATCTGGGCATTTCTTTCACTGAGGTCATTGAGACCTTGCCAAATGGTTTGGAGAAAGTCATTAATTCTGCAGAGGTGGGTAGACACATATGGAGTTTTTCCCAACTTACAATAACAATGCAAACAAAATCTGTTTTCTCAAGAGTGCCAAATACTTTATATGATTAAAGAGTTTTTTCTCCTTTTTTTTAAAGAATCAAGCCAGGCATATGCTACCCAATTTCTAGGAATAATTTAATGATGAAATATGTTGGCTCTTCTGTAGCAATAAAATTCAGCTTTTTCCTTTAGTACATGAGAGGAAGGTACAGTATTGGTCTGAGATTTGTAATGGAAACTGAGTCATTAAACCCATATTGAAAGCTGATTCTTATTTCATCATCTCAATAGATTTTTTTTTAAGCTAAATATTAGTCCTTTTCCCACATATTCACTGTAATGTGGTGTCAGCCTTTATGGTTACATATCTGCCTGAAGAGACATAGAAATCTTATCTTTAAATAAGATATGTGGTGGTGTAGCTCTTGAAAAAATGAATTTGACAGCAAACACAAAGCTCATGTTCTGAGATGTGGCAGGTAGGGTTGAAGTAGTTAAGATGTATGTGAAAGCAAGAATAGAGAAGCCTCAAATGAACACAGGATAAAGAAAGCTGCTTTACCTTTGGCATTTCCTCAGCCTCTGCCTTGTGTTGGGGATATTCTGGAAGTTTCAGTGGGCAGCAGCTGATTATAATACCAGCAGTGAGTGCAAATATCTGCCAGCAAAAACACAAGGGGTCTACAGGACCCTTCCTGAGCCTCGTGCTACTCAGAGTATCAAGAACATTATCCTTTGAGCAAGAAGGTTTAAAGGAGAAGCTGCAATGTCCAGAGTCTCTTGGGTAGGAGGGTGTTAAGCAGCAGGAAGGGGGAAATTAATATGAGGCTCATAAACTTTGACTCTCAGAAATTGCATTTGTGACTTTTTCAGCCCGTTCTTGCATTTTTCACTGGCAGCAAGTATAAATTTTTCTTCCTTACTGTTTTTTTAAATCAGATCACGGGCATGACTCGGCAGGAGGCTTTAAAAGCTGTTACCCAGCAAGCCAAGAGGAGGGGGCTGGGTGGTGACCTGACGAGTGACAAGCTGCGGGACTGGCTGATCTCCCGGCAGCGGTACTGGGGAACGCCCATCCCCGTGGTTCACTGCCCGGCCTGCGGCACCCTCCCCGTGCCCTACCGAGACTTACCCGTGCTGCTGCCCAGCGTGGCCACCTTCACGGGCAAGGGAGCCTCACCCTTGGAGTCAGCTCCAGAGTGGGTGAACTGTGCCTGTCCCAGGTAAGCCAGGGCTGCACTCACTGCAGGCTGGGAGAGATCCCTGTGTACCTACACCACTATGTGCTGACTGCCGACCCCTCTGAGACCTGATGCTGCTCCAGAATGGTGTTTAGTCTGACCCAGAATAGGTTTTCTTTCTCTTACAGACTCTGTAAAACTCCTTTTTTGCAACACAGACACCCACTGCTATTTCTGCATGAGCAAGCTGAAGGAGAACTCGCTGGGTTTAGGTTGGAGGGAAGAACAAAGGGAGAACAGGATTTCTGCCTGCCTCCTATTTCTTAACAGTATTTCTCACCTCATTTACTACAAGATTTTTCATTATCTTTCACCAGCAGAGCTCACATGAATATTGAGTTATGTCCCGTTGTTAAGGCAACTGACATCATGTTTATTTTCTTAGCAATGGTCCAGCACTAAAGTGTTTCCTCAGCTTTATCCTCCTTTATCATGCAGAATCACATTCAGGCACTTTAGACAGCAGGTAATTGAGATGGAAGGAGATAGGAGCAAGTGCATCTTGTCGATGCTGTAATCTTTATTGTTTGTAGGCCAGCTGTTTCAGAAATAATCCAGCCCTAATTAAGCAGTGAGAGAGACGTCATCAAAATCAATTGCCTGATCCTGAGGGCTGCTTGGATGCTCTGTACAGGGGAGTTTGCATACAGGTCCTGCAGAAGGAGCTGGCAGAACATGAGGAAGTTTTACATCAGCTGTAAATTATAATAACACTTCACTCTTTGAACCTGTGAAGGGTAGAGTATCAGTGAGGGTTTCATTCCTAATTAGGTAGCTTATGCACAGCAGTTCTGTGGTTCTCTAGGAACGTGTAGTTTGGCCTTTGTTAGTAATGTGTGTTATGTAAAACACAGTTACTTCCATGTTTCTACACAGAAAATTTCTACCAAAATTACCTGTGATAGTGTATTTTGAACTGACTCTGGCAGGGAAACCTTGCTAAGCAGGATCTGCAGGTTTAGTAAATTCCCCAGAAATGCCTTCGTCTAAAATTCCTAATTTCAGCTGAAAAGCTTTCCTGATGTGACTGAAAGTCTCTGTCTGCACTCTTGGCTTCCTCCTGACCTTAATTAAAAAATAATTGTGTTGTTTACCAGGCAGCAGTGTACTTTTGCTGTACATCAACCCCAAGTGCTCTCTTGGATGGTCATTGTGGCTGCCCAACTTCAGTTGAGGGTGTTTGTTGAGTCATAAATAAAGACATAGGGGATTAGTTTCTTAGCCTAAAATGAGCTAGTTTGCTGAAATTAACTTTTTTAATTCTCACCTTTATTTGGCTTCTTAATTCTCATCTGTTTGGCAGCTGTCTTCAGTATTGCTTGTCCATGTGTCTGCTGCAGTTTGAAATCCTCTGAGCTATTGCTCTTGTATGTGCATGGTCTTCCTTGGTTCCCCTTGCTCTGAGAGGTTACATCATCCCTTTGTCCTTCTCTCCAGTAACGTCAACAACCAGAAATGGGAGGGGATGCCCAACTTACTCATTATTGTACAAGCCCCCCTAATTGTGTTAGCTGTCTGAAGATGGTCTAATGAGATTAGAGTGTTGTGCCTGTAATCCAGATATTGATATAAATTGTATAAATAAAGATGCTCTTGCTGTCTGTGTCAGTGAGCCCTGTCCAGTTAGAGTGTGGGCAGCATCAGAGGCACGAAGCAGATCTAATTACAGTGCCATGACTGTAAACTCTTCTTGCTTTGGATGGAAAAAAATGTTCTGTTTCAATAGAATACAGTGATATTTTGCACTGGCCAAGTCTCTGCTTTTATGTGCAATTTAATAAGGTGGTTATTCTATAGTCAAGAGCAGGTAGAAGTAAAATTTCTTTAGCACATTATTCCCATTGAAAGAAACAGCTTGTTGGTAGAGCAGGACCCAGGGCAGGGGCAGAGAGAAGGAAGATGTGGAGTGGTGACAGTCTCCCCCACTTGCCTCAGCAGGCCAGTGTCCTGGAGCCAGTTGCAGCCAGGCAGTGTTTGTAGCCAAGCACCTCCTGGGCTGCAGGGATTTACTGACATTGGGACAAGCCCATTGTTGTAACAGTGGGAGTTTTAAAGGGGAATTATTTAAGGCAAGAAGCAGTTTATTAAATTTGAGTGTTGTCTCCTGCAGACAATTTATATTCGGGGAGAAGTCAGCAGAAAGCAGCCTGAGCTTCTAAAACATATTTTAAAACTGTTTCTCAGGGCTGCTAATTGTAGCTCCAAGCAAAATTTGATGGCCATAACTGGAAATTAAAATGGTGCCACAAGTTTTAGGAGAGACTTCCTACCTCTCTGTGAAAGCTGAAATTAACCTAAGTTATTTTTTTCTAGAGGTGATAGATGGCATCTGTTAAGCCCTTTTTTGTACAGACCATCAGGGAGAGAGGCAACCACCTGCCCCTCCTGCTGAGTGTGTGTCAAGTGATTTGTCTGCTGGTGCCTAACGAGCGTGACACAGTCAGAACCTGCTCCCTTTAGGGCAGAGCACACTTGCCTGTGCCTCAAGCCTTGCTTGGTTTCTCTTAACATGTCAGTTCTAAAACACTGGAGGTGCATATAACTGAGAGCTGTCAGGTGCAGTGCTGTCTTCCACCACCACTGAAGGGTACAGCTGCTCAAGCTCCTTTTTGGTTTGCATTTTGTGTGGTTTGGGAGGCAGAGGGAAGGAAAGTCAGCCCTGTTAACTGCTGTTGGACTGTCCCTGAACATGTCACTCCTCAGAATAAGTTTTCAATCTAAATATCTTCATGGCTGCTCTGTACAGAGTTGTTTTTCTTCAAGCTTGTCACCTGCCTAAAAATAGCTTTTCTGCTTCTCTCTCTCTCAGGTGCAAGGCAGCAGCGCGGCGAGAAGTCGATACCATGGATACCTTTGTTGATTCTGCCTGGTACTACCTGAGGTACACTGACCCTCACAACACAGACAGGTGAGGGCTCTGCAGCCTGCTCTGGGTGACCTGCTGGAGCTGGGCAGTGAGAAGCCCCTGCCAACACCAGCCATTCTGTGTGCTTATGCCATCAGGGCCAAGCCCATTTCACAAAAGATAAGGGAAGGAAGAGGCCAGACACTCTGCTCCTTCTAGCTGCCTTTGCAGAAGGAGGTGTAAGTCCTGTGCTGCCCCAATTTTATGCCTGCCCTCTGGCCTGAGCCCAGCACGGGGTAGACTAAGAACTGCTCTAAAAATGGGGCATGTGGCTGCTCCCATGCCAGGAGCTCCTCAAGAGCAGGATGTGTAGACACAACTGTGTAAGCACAGGAGCTACAGGGCAAGGGGCAGGAGCTGCCATGGAAGGGTGCTGTGGGGCAGGGCACAGAGGAAACACTCAGCTGAGAAGCTGAAGATAGAATCATAGAATTGTTTTGGTTGGAAGAAACCTTTAAGGTCATCAAGTCCAACCATTCCCCCAGCACTGCCAGGTCCCCACTGAACCATGTCCCCCAGCACCACATCTCCACAGCTCTGAAGCTCCTGCTGTGTCAGCACTTTGACTCTATGTGTAATTAATGAGCAGAGATTTTTCACGTGCTGTGTGTTAGTGGCTGCAGTGTGGAGGGTGTGGGAAGATAGAAGTGATCAGTGAGCTGGTTTTCCACTTCATAGTCTGCCTGCAGTAGTGCTGCTGATTGCCCTGCTTTTTCCAGAGAGGGCTTGGTGGAACAGCTCTGAGGAAGATAGAGTTGGATCTTTCAGATACTGATACCACATCTGGGGGTTTATTTGTTTATTGTGCAGAGCAGTGTCCACATGCATACTAAATCCCAAGTGATTTAATATAGCTGGGCCAGTTAGGTGGTTTTTATAATGGCAACACTAGTTTAGTTAAACTAAAGAAAAATCTTCTGTGAGCACTTTTATCTCATGCCAATTTCAATTATTTTCTAGTGATGGTGTGAATTTATTTTTGATATTATTAACTTGGGCAGTTTGCTTCCTCCCCAGTGACAGTGTGATGTACTTTTTTGTGCTTGACAAGAGGGATTTTTCCAGAAGTTGAAGAAATAATCAGATGTAACATGCAGCTGTTGAAGTAACAGCTTAGTGTAGCTAAATCTGCTTTATATTGAAATAAGAATATTTGGACCTCTGGACTAGATTGCTACCTCCATTTGATTTGTTGGTTTCTGGATTTTTTTAGCTAATTGACATATACATAAATCCTGTCTTTCCATAAGCCATTTTTCAAAGAATTACAGAGAATTTAAAATACTAGAATTTGGGGAAAATTACTCCGTTGATTTTTGGAGCCCTGTGAACAAATCAGTTTTGATTTGTTCCATTAAAGACATGAATCCCAGATCTGTGATTTGTTTCTGGGCTCATCTGTGAGGGGAAGGAGGGTTACTGGTACAGAAATTACAGGTGGAATCATGAAGCAGACTGACAAACCAGGCAGATCTGTTGGAGTGGGGCTGTGAAGCACCATTAAAGAACACCTCCACAAGTGGCATTTTGCAGGCAAGAGCCCATTACAGGAGATACAATATTTAATGAAGCAATAAGCAACACTAGGAAGCCACACAGGTGACCTCCACGATGCTGTAAATATGCCATAAAATGCAAATTTCCTGTAAATTCATGGAGAATCCTTCAGTGGAGTGCAGGAACCCGACTGACTCTTCCCAGTGTTTAAGGTGCTTCATTGCCCCCTGATGGCAGCAGCTGCTTTTGGGTGGGCAGGTCTGCTGGCTTTCACTCTGATAGATCTGTGTGTAGAACCTGATAAACACTAAAAAATTTAAAGGCTACCCACAGGGTGTTTATTAAAAAAACCAAAACCAAACCAACATTTAAAGAGCAAGCAAATACTTTCATCACTTTCTCAGGTAACGTGTGTGAAATCTTAGTTGCTTGCTGAAAATAGAGGAAATAGCTGCTTGAGTAGAGCTGATCTTTCTTTCCTACGTTGCATTTTTTTCTATAATTGTGTTTTTTCAGGCCCTTTAACAGTGACTTGGCAGACTACTGGATGCCTGTGGACTTGTACATTGGGGGAAAGGAGCATGCTGTGATGCACCTATTCTATGCAAGGTTTTTCAGCCACTTTTGCCATGATCTGAAGATGACAAAACACAAGTAAGCATAATATATTTCTAGAGAAATCTTTGACTAACAGGAGTGCTAGTGGGCATTGTCAGGATGGTGGAATGTTACATGGACTAAGCCTGAATTTGCCATTTTCCTGCCTGTCACCCTTGGCCAGTTCCTCAGCCAGTGGCACTTCCTTTGTGCAGACACTCCTAGTGGTTTGATTACAGGAGCTTCACTGGCTCAGAGCAAGGGATAAAATGCTGCCTGCAAAAATCTGTATGAACTAGCAACTTCAGGCAGTCTGAGTAATGCTGTTGTTTCAGACTAGGTAACTTTTGACCAGGAATACATTTATTTCAGTGGAACCATGCATATGTAGGAAACCAAGCACTCCTACAGTTCACTGCAGTGTTGGAGCTGAACAGGGCAAACCACTTCTTGCTAAGCAAAAGCAGGGTATCTGTCTGCTGTCAAGCCATTGTTTATTTAATTACTTTTATATAATTACTTTTAATTAGGCTTGTTGCTGATGCTGCTATAGCCTAATTCATTATCCTCTGTTTGGGTTAGAGGTAGGGTCTGAGGCAGGAAGGTGAGTCATCTGATGGTCTTGGTGAGGTTTCCCACTTAACATCCCCATTTCCACTGAAATTCTGCCCTTGTGAACCCTAAAATGCCACCATAGGAACACCTCAGCTGGGAGCACACTAGTGTCAGAGCTGCAAAACACTGCCCTGTGCTCTGGTTCTCCCATCAGCAGCAACATTTGAATAGCTCGGGTCATAGGATCATGGAGTTGTTTGAGCTGGAAGAGACCTTCCAGAGCATCGAGTCCAGCCAGGTCCCTCACTGACCCCTGTCCCTCAGCACCACATCTCCAGGGCTTGGAAACCCCTCCAGGGTTGGGGACTCCACCATAGGGCAGCTGGTTTCAGGGCTTGACAATCCTTTTTGGGACGACATTTTTTCCTTATGTCCAACCTAAACCTCCCCTGGTGCAACCTGAGGCCATTTCCCCTTGTCCTGTCCCTTGTTCCCTGGGAGCAGAGCCCAACCCCACCTGGCTCCAGCCTCCTGTCAGGGATCTGTCAAGAGCAAGGTCTCCTCTAAGCCTGTCTTTGAGTCATTTTGACTCCCCTGAGTCAACCCACAAGAAGAACTGCTCAATAATTTCTCAGATGACAGCTTGTATGTTTTCATTCTTTCCTAGTATCCACCCTAAAATCCTGGAACCTACATACACATCACACTGAACTCTGCTCAGTCTTCTGTGAGGGCTGCTCAAGGGCTGGGCTCAGAGACCTGAAAAGAGTGATTAGAAAGAAGAAGCTGCTTCTTAGGAAGCTTAAAGCCATGGTGTTGGAGCCACAGCTTGGAGGGAAACGTTAAAATGTTTAAAAACACTGCCCTCTTGTGCCTCTCCAGTCTTTGGCCAGGAACTCAGGTCTTGTTCACTGATTAAATTAGGAAAATTCTGCTCTATCTCAGTTAATAAGAGCTGCCACCATTTAAAGTGTTGTTTTGTATCCTGGAAAATGTTTATGATTCCCTTATTAATCTGGAGTCATTTTTCAGTTTGATAGGTTTTCTTCATGGAAATTTTCATTGCTTGACTTTCCAAATCCATGGAAGCATTTCCTGATAGTTTTTAATCCTGTTCTGCTGGCTGTTAACGTAATAATGGGGTTGAAAACACAAGTTTAAAATTCCATAGTTTGGATTTTTAAAGCCATCTCTTCAAATATGGTGTGTGTTGTTATTAGAAAAATAATACAGGTGTCATGTATAAATCAGGCATTTCCAGACATCACACATGCTTTCATAGGAAATGCAACTTTTGGAGGCATCTGCAAGGTGTCAATAGAGTTTAACTGTCCCCTGAGGATGGGGAATGGTCTTTTTATACCTTTTCCCATGCTCTGGGCTGGAGATGGTGGGAAGTGTTGCTTGTTTCCTCAGGAATGACAAGGCAGAAGTGGCACCCTCTGGGTATGGGTACATGTGATAACAGATTAAGCCCAAATTTGTGTCATTTTGGTTTAGCAATCTGGTCTGTTAGGAATTAATTCACTAGCCAGTCAGCCCTCCAGCTGTGGCCACGGCTGGGAGAGGCGCCAGGCAGACATCTGGGGCCACCAGCCACCTCCTCTGGGCCAGCACCACGTCCCAAGAGTCTGCTCAGCACTGCCACTGGTTACACAGGGTTGGGCTCTCCCCCAGCCCTCAGCAATGGGCTCTGGCTGACGTGTCACTGGAAATGGGATCTAGCACGTTCTCCCTGGAGGATTATAAAGCAATGAAAAGGTTTATTGTTGCCATTAAGTCAGCAGATTTGACTGATAGAAGATCTCCTGAGTAAGGAGGCACTGTTCCCACAGAGCTGCATTACAGAACACAAGCAGGCAAGTGTGACAGAAGGAGCTTATTCTGTGAAGGGAGGATGTTAGAGCTGCTCTGTGTTCTTTAGGGGCTTCACCACTAAGGGTGATTTGAACTGAAAGCACTCAGCTGTTGACTGTGTGACATCCTGAATGTTCAGTAGTGTTTGATGGGGGTTTTTTTTGCCTAAAGTGATCAGCTCCCACATCCTGCAGTCACTTCTCTTCTGACCTTCCACAGGGTACCAGATTGTCACAGGTAGATCTAACAGCAGGTTCCACCAGCTCCTGAACTCAGCTGATGGTGACCAACCAGGGTCTTCACCCCCAAAAGCATGAGGCCTCTCTAAAGACACAGGATGCAAATACACCCTCTCCCTTTCCCTGAGCCCACTGTTTATCACCATTTCAGGCTCCACAGAGTCCTTCCACCCAGGTCATTTGTAATGGCACAGAAAGTCCTGCTGCTGGTAAGGAGCAGGGAGCAGGAGGAGATGGCCCTGAGCAGGAGTTCCTCATCTGCCAGCCACACTTGCCCCTCCACCCACTGTGTGCTCCTGCAGAGGGCCTTTGCTCTGTCACAGGGATGAACCTGTATGTGGACACCACTGGGAGGAGGAAGGTGGATTACCCACTTATGGCAGCACAGAGGATCCTTCTGGCAGGTGTCAGGGAGACTCCATGGGGTGGGGATCCCACCTGATGTACAGCAAGGTTGTCCCAGCTCCCTGCAGAGGCCTTGGACGAGGTGACCCTCCAGATTCCCCTCCAACCCAAACCATTCGGGGAGTCTGTGATCAGAAGCTGCCTGCAGCTCAGCCCACAGTGCCCATCCTCCAGCATGGGCACAGAGAGGCTTCACGGGCAGGTGGAGGTTTGTCTCCTTGGGGATTTTGGGTGTGTGCAGCTCTGGGTGTGACCATGAGATGGAGGCAGCGCAGCGCTGCCGGGAGGCATCCGGAGCAGGGCTCCCGTTGGTGAGACAGCCTCTGCCTTGCTGCTTTTGGGCACATCTCCCACGGGCAACACGTGGGGCTCTTCCCCATACTTGGTAGTGGATTTTGTGTTGCATTTTTGCAGCCTCTGTCAGCACAAACAAACATAGGAAACGCTCGTTGCTGCTTTCGGCCCTTCGTAACTTGGCGTATGATCTGAACTGGCTCTGTCACAAAAAATAAGTGTCCCTTGAAAAATCACTTCCAGTGGAGAGCCCTGTCCAGTTCAGATGTTCTGGCACCCTCATTAGCTTTATTTTAGATAGCAGCAAGTGTAGCTATTTTAATAACTGTTTGAGATCTTAAGCAGAATGGCAGAGGGAAGAATTCTTTTTATTTTTCCTTGGTGTCGTGCCTTCAGCTGGTAGAAGTTTATCCTGAACACTTCTCTCCTGAAGCATTTTTCCACCCTTTGTTGATGATAGGGTTACAAAGGCTTTGCTCCTGATTTTCATCTTCTAATTCACTTGGGTCATTTGAGATAACGATCTGAGATTTTTAGGTAATTATTGCCTCCTATTTTTAAAATACTCCTTCATGTTTGCACTGTCTAAATTTGACTTCAGTTCTCATCTCCTGAAGTTCTTTTCATTTATTTCTAAACAACAAGGGTTTTCAGGCAACCTGTGAGATATAGTCTAGAAAATATTCAGCAAGATGCTTGAACTGCTGCTTTCAGTTGCTGTGGTTGATAAAACCAGAGGCTCCAGTCTCTGTACCACTTGGTGGCTGAAGGACACTCCACTGTGTGCCAGTACTTGCACAATATTTAGAAGTATGCAAAGCATGCAAGGGAGGAAACTCATGTTCAAACATGATGTATGAAGCCTATCACTTTCCATCCCCCAGTTTAAGGCTTTTCCTTCAAGTATCTCCTTAATTCAGAGTCACCAGAAGGATTTAAAGCCGAGTACTTGGAGGAGAGCTGCTTTAATACAGTGAAAACATGCACAATTGTTATATAATTTAATAATGTTTTAACTATATTATTAAATAAATTGCTGTGGTTAAAATCACAAGATAAATTGTCATATAATTTCTATTTCCCAATGTTGTAGAACAGTAACTCCTTAAAAGTGAGCAGTGTTTTGGTTTATGACTTTTTTTGTACACGTGACGTAAAACGTGAAGTCTGGTTTTACTTTTTCCTCTTCAGATGGATTTATTCTAGCTTTTAAATTATGTAAATAGGAGCAATGCATCCTTTTTACAGTGGTTTTCCTTTTACAGAAGCTGTTTTGGTAGATGTGTGGGGTATTGTGTATATATATGTGTAGATATTTCAGTAGGTGGGAGTGTTAGAGAAACTTTCTTCCCCCTTTAGAGCAAGAAATGTGCAGCAGGTGTTGATGTGTTCAGAATACCATACTCCTCAGAGGAGCTAGAAGGAAATATTTGTAAGACAACAGGGCCAGGTACTTGAATACTTTTAGACATGGGGATTTAGCTTGCAGTTAGTGAAATTGCAGTGTTGGCCAAGAAACTTGGGTGTATTATCCATATGCTAATTTGAAAAGTGACGTTAGAATAACTTAGTACTAAATTAGGGTGTGAGAATGTGTGCAGAATATAAATAAATACTTGACCTTGCCAGCCAGCCACTGTGAATAAACACACAAAGTTCTTTCTCTCAGGTGACAACCATTTCTATACAGGCAACTGGAAATTCTTGTTCCATGAGGTAATCTGTGCCCCATTGGCTCAGCACCTGCAGCTTATCCTCAAGTATGTTTTTGATGACTGTTTTCAACAGATGAGTTTCTTTCTCCTTCCATCCTTAGGGAGCCTTTCCATAAGCTCTTGGTTCAAGGCCTTATCAAGAATCAGACATTCAGACTAGCATCAACAGGCCAGTGTTTGAAGAGAGAGGAGGTTGATCTCACTGGTAAGAGCCTGCACGAGAGAATCAGCATAGGTGCATCCAGAAAGTCAGGGGCTGCTTGGGTGGAAGAGTCTCAGTGCTGGGGAAATCTGGCCAAGGAAGTGAATCCTTTTAATATCTAAACTGGAGAGCAACTTCCAGTGAGTTTTGGCTTCATATGCTCTGCTGAGTGCATTGAGACCCTGCTAACCCAGCAACTTCTGGTTGCATCCAAGCACAGAAACAGCACTGCAATAGTATTTTAGCTCCCAAAAGATCCAACATCTCTTTTGTTAAGACAGAGCTGAGCAGCTTGCTGTCTGGAGCTAGTGGTCCCAGCAAACAGCCAACGTGCAAAATCATCGTGGCAAAGCTGACACAGATGTTGAGCTGTTCAGTAGATACTAGAAAAAGAAGCAGTAGATATTAGGAAAAAGTTTCTCAAGTTCTTTCCAGTGCCTTTGCTGCATCAGCTGGAGCAGCAAGTCCTGGCCTGGGGACCTGCAGCAACGAGAGTGGTTTGGTTGTATTCATCTCCCTTAAGCACTCCTCTCCTGCAATCCTGTCTTCACTGTTCTTCTCCTGCATACAAAACCCAGGCAGTTAAAAAAACAGCCAACCAGCCAAAATTCCTTACATTTACCACTGCTATCTGTTTTCTTCCAGAAAACCCAGGGCCTTTCTGTGGCAGGTGGTTTTACTCGACCAGTGTAAAAGCTTCTTTCTGTCCCTAAATTCATGCAACAGAAAGTACATTCCTGTCAAGATAACTTATTACCACTAAAACCTATAAATCTGGTGTCTGTAAAAGCCAAGTGCTGGTCAGAATTGTGCCAAGTCACTACTCCTATCTAGGAGCTTTTACATGTTGTGATGCTTAAGTCTTAGCTTAATGCTAAATAATTAGTTTTAATTAAATGCATCAAATTAATCATTACACCCATGCTTAAATCTCAGAGGCTGTCAAGGTAGCACATGGATACAGCTTCCAAAATGGAGGAGACTTCCCCTTGTGATGTAATGGAAGCATTGGGATATTACTTGTGCTAAAACATTAAAGTAGGAAAAAGTTGGAAGAGGTTATTTACAGTGGGTGGTTTTCCTCTTTTAAGCTGTTTGGAACCCAAAAAAAAACCACCCTAGAAATAGTAGTTTCTTTTTCTGCTTAGGGAACAAAAACGATTGCTGTTAGAACTGAGCCAAATTTGCTTTAATATTTTGTGTATGCCTTCATGTTCAGGAACTGAACCAGTTCACCTGAAAACTGGTGAGAAGCTCCAAGTTACTTGGGAAAAAATGAGCAAATCTAAGCACAATGGGATAGAGCCTGAGGAGCTGGTGAAGGAGTATGGCATCGACACCCTGCGCCTCTACCTGCTCTTCGCTGCCCCTCCAGAGCAAGACATTTTGTGGGATACTAAGAGTAAGTTGGATTGTTTCTGTTTGGGGCTTTTTTTTTCTAGGCTGTTCTATTTTAAACACAAAATGAAGGCAGTGGCTTATTCCAAAACTTGTTTTGGGACAGTTGAATCCAAGAAGGATTTGCTGGTTTTTTTTTAGAAGACAAAGCTATCACTGAGAGGCAGTGAGTGCCAGATTATCACAACCAGTGTACCTCTTAGCAGCTAAAAACACCTAGGAAAAGTACTTCCTAGTGGTATTTTCTTCTGCCAACTTGGGCCTCATTCAATTATTTTTTATTAGCTATGATTGATAGACTGCAAGTTATTATTGCAAGATCACTTTCTTCATTGTAACCCTTTTTTTCAGTCGTATCGGGTTACAGATAAATCTTCACAATATTTTATTACTTCCATTAATTTACACATGTATGCAATGGCTTTTGTAAGCTGGACTATGAAATAATTCTTGGGAGAATCACATTAGAAGATAATGAGAGTTCCCAGCGACTCATATTTGTATACACATGACATTTTGATGAGCTTATTTCTTGAAGAAGTGAAGATTTACCCTCCTACACACTTATTTACTGCCATCATGTCATTTGTCACACTGACAGGTCTGAATTTCTTTTCTCTACTCTGGTTCATACATTTTAATGTAGTCTTATGTGTACATTTAAATCCCACCTTCTGGTTGCATAAGGCTTTAGTAAAACACCTCATGCATGGTTTAAAAAGGAGCACAGCAGCATCTCTGCAGCAACAAAAGCATATGGAATTTCTAAATTCAAATTTGAGAAGAAATCTCTCAATTTAAAAAAAATACATGTATGTATTTATGTACGTTTGTGTTCTTCCGTGGGTTTGAAAACAGGGAGCATGTAGAACTGTTTTGCTGTCATTAAAACACAAGATTGACATAGCTGTGGGTTCTTTTACAGATTTAGCAGCTGTTCTTGCTGTACATGTTTGTAAGTCATGGCAGGAAGATAATTCTGTTTTACCTTACTGATTTCTTCCCATTAAGGCAACCCAGCACGACTCACAAAGGGGTTTTTGGTTACATTGACATTTGTAATTTAAAACACAGGTATTTTGTTAAAAACCTGTTTAACTCTAGCCTTCAGTTTCCTTTCTGCTTTTCTCTGAAGCCCTGGTGGGTTGCCTGTAGCTGAGTTTGTCTGTGCCCTCTGTCCTTGCACCAGCTGACGCCATGCCGGGGGTGCAGCGGTGGCAGACGCGCCTCTGGGCACTCGTAACCAAACTGCTCGAGGAGAGGACTTCAGGAACCCTGCCCAGCCCCGAGCTGCTCAGTAAGAAGGAGAAGGCTGAAGCCAGAAAGATCTGGGAGCAGAAGAATCTGGTCATTTCTGAGGTTAAAAAACACTTACAAAGTTTGTCAATGATGGAATAAGTTGCCGCTTATGCTAAAACCACGGGCTTGACTTACAGAGCCAAAAGCTTTTTCCCTAC